ACCCTTTAAGTTACATGTAATATGTTTATACTTTAATTATGACTTACTTTGGAGCCATAATTCTGTAAGGTTGCCACAGACTGAGCTTACAACATGAACACTTTTCCAATTCTTCTCGTGTGATTTCCAATTTAATTGTTTCACCCTTGTCCGCTTCAGATTGTTCTTCAGAACCTTCAGTGGGAGCGCTTCCAAAGAGAATAAGTTGCTTGGCTTTTTCCAATGCAAGCGTTTCTTCTCCTTCTTGATTTTGTTCTTCCTTTTCATCTATATCTTTTTTCTCCGCAACCTCTTCTCCTTCCTCCTCTTCTTCTTCATCTTCATCCTCACCATCATCATCAGTCTCATCATCTCTACAACAATGACAGATCAATGAGTTCATTTCACATTGTGCTTGGTGCAACAAAGACATCCCTATCATTTTTATAAATGTTTATAAAATTCAATAGCAGTTGAATCCAACCAGCCAATCAAATAGTACACAACAACGTTATATGAAAACATCCCAATATTATTAAATCAGCCAATAGAAAACTATCATTTCACTTTAAATTGTGAAATTTGTAAACATTTATAAGGATGAAGAGAATACTCTTGTTGTGCTGAGAGTAAATTGCAGTAAATATGACCAATTAAAAACCTTTACCAGGTTCACTGAATTTGTTCTATTTAGTAACACTGTGCATTGTGCTTAAATGACAGAAGTGTGTTTTACAATTATACTAACAAATATTTCAATGATTCAGTCTTTTCCATGAATCGAAACCAAACAAAACCCTAACACAAACTAGCATTTTTTTTTCATTGGCCTAATAATATCTGAGAAAATTTCATACCGTGAAACACAAAATGAATAGCGCCATCAGTGTTCAACAATTACAAAAAGGCTGTCACGTCATGTCAGCACAAATGAATTGAGCTGCAAGGTAGGCGTAGCTGAAAAGAGGCGGAAACTAAATATTCTCGACAAATTTATTTCTGCGACGTAGCAATGTTTGAAGTCATTCAAAATTTAAGGTTAGGATTAGAGTTAGGATTTTGTTTTGTTTCGTTTCGTGGAAAAGACTAAGCCGTATGATTAATGCAACGTTTGGTTTATACATGTATGTGCTTTAAATAGCATACATAGTGCCACTATTACCCGATCACCCCCCCCCCCCGGAAAAGTGAGCAAATGAAAATTTTATCTCACCTAATGACAGATTGAGGGGGATATTACGATTTCTGGGTAAAATAAAATTATCGATGTTGCAGTACAATCTGTTGGAACTGATTTCGTTGAATTGAACGGCATGATTTTTTTCAAAAACTCCTTACTAGCAATTTTTGTTAGGTAAACTGAATATGGCATGAAGTATTCACTACATTTCACTTTCATTAACAGGTCATTGTCAAAACGTAGTTTACACAGGATTACCGTGGTCTACGCATTCACATAATCACAACATATTCAAGTTTTATAATTACTGTGAAATACTTTATTTTAGCTGGAATTAATTTTCGCTGAAAAGGCTTTTTGGGTGTTTTGTGTGGAATTTATTTTCACTGATTTTTGATGAGTTTAATGTAAAATATAGGAAAAAAAGTATATTCGCTGGATTTTATTTTCACGGAAACATCCCTTCAGCGAAAATAGCGAAAATAAATGCCAAGCGAAAATAAAGTATTCTACAGTATATAGTCAAATTTGGGTCATTTTGAATCCGAAAATAGAAATGTCAAAAAAGTGGCATGGATTGGGTAATATCCAATTTTTAATGGATTCAAATTTAAGATTCAAATTTAGAACGCTAAATTAGAAATGTTTAAATCTATTTCTAAATTTACATGTTCTAGATTACGATTTAGAAACCGGTCTAAATTATAAATTAAAACACTATTTAGAAACGACGCAATTGTCGCTATTTAGATGATCTAAATTAAAAACTACATCGCTATTCGGCTAGCTATTTAGACAAACTATTTTATAAACTACAATGCTATTGAGAATCAGTGTCTTGTGACTTTTAAATTATCATTTCTCGGGTGCCACTATTTAGTTTGCTATTTAGACGATCTATCAATTACAAACTATGGCCGTATTTAGAAGCTGAGAGAAACATGAGATAGAGCATTTGCTTACTTTCCCAAAATACTAGATGTTTATGTTGAGGAACGTTAATCAAAACAATAGAGGCATTTAATCTGTGCTGTTATAATCCCCTCTATATATTAAATAAAATGTTTTAACAAACACCCGTCCTGTTCGAGCTCTAGATTATATTCAGATTGTTTAAATATCGTGATATATTTGTGGCAATAGCGTCCTGAAATATTTTTTAACAAGACCCCCGCCCACATGTACATTGTGTAGCTGCATGTTCTAGCTCTATATGATATTTAGATTGTCTACATTGTTTTACAGCATACTGTCAGAGGAAAGATATCATTTTCACTCATATCTGAAATTCAAAACTTCGACATTTAGCAACGCTCTAAGTTTAGAATTGCTGACAAGTGTGTGAATTACTCGTACAATATACCTTATATAAAATAATTTAAATATTGCATTCTTGTAAATATTTTTACATTGAGTTATACATGTAGCAAAACGTGTTATACTAGTTGTTAAAAAGAATGTACATAAATAAATATTAATCAAATTATTTTGAGAGCCTCTCTGTTGTATATATATATAGTCAGCTCAATTTATATTACTGGTATTTCGTGTATTTCTGCTTTAAAGTAAATATATATATAGAATTTGTTTATGGTTATTACTAATAATACGCATAAGAAATCAAAGAAAGCTTAGAAAGAACTCCCATGTGCTGAGAGTATTGGAGACACATTAAATATAATTCGAAATTACTTAGCTGAAAACTAATTATGCAAATCAGAAAATTAATATGACCAGATTTGAGTGTAAAACTAATGAGGTCTGCGCAATGTAACAGAAAATCTATGTCTCCAAGTTTAATTGAAATGTGATTAGAACCAAAAAATTATGAATTATTATGCTTATTAGGGAATTAATATGAACAGATTTTTACCCCAAAC